CGATATGCATATTGCGATATGTACATTTGCGATATTTCGATAATTTTGATATATTGCACAGCCCTAACACTAGGTTTTGCCCATTTGTTAATTTTTAATTATTTAAAATAGAATAAAATGTAGTATTATTTTTACTGAACATTACTGTCTTGGATTTATAAAAGCAGTAATCTACTCATGATTGCATTTATCTCATTTTAAGAACGTCTGAATATTTTAAACTGGAAAATAGATCTTTTATATACCTTTACATACTTGATATTTTTCAAAGAAGTGAGGAGTAGAGAAGCGAGGATAGTCTTAGCAGATAATACCAGCCAGACAGAGACAAAAGAGCATGAAAGGAGGAGATTACCGAACACACACACACACACACACACACACACACACACACAAACAGCTGCGAGGTGATCCACAGCAGCAGGAGATACATGGAAACTGTAGGGCAAAAAGCCTGAGGCTTCAGTTCTGAGCCCACCGCCTGTGAAACGCCTCATCCCTCATCCACCCTGGCTAGAAGACAAGTCTACGTCATCACCCACCGTAATCCCACAGGACACGTTTAATTACAGCCCTCACAGGATTCGGCATACAGTACCACACACACACACACACACAAGCACAAACGCAGAGGATGAGCCAGCCAGAGCGCTGAGGAATAATAAACACACCCCTCCAACAAACGCAGATTGTGTTTAATTGGTGATTAATGTCGGACGAACATGATGGTAATGGCTTTATAACCAAGCAGCACGACGCAGTGTACTGTGAGTTCAGTTACCGTAGAGCGGCATCTGGATCCATCTCTCATTCCTCCCATCAATACACTCATTTATCTCAACCTATCCAGAGAGCGGTCTCTCTCTGGGTGGGCAGTCTATTCTCATTTCTCATCACCGCATTCTGTAATCTTCAAACATGCCCCTACAATTAAACATTTACACGTTTCACACTCTCTTTCTCCCTACCGCATAAATCACGTAGCCTTTAATTTCTCTTTTGTAGCTAAAACTCCTCTGAGCCCACCTTTCTTTCTTTCCTTCCCTCACTCTGTCATTTCCCCATTTCAGTGCAAAATGAGTGGCAGCTCAAGCGTCCTCTCCATCTCTCCATCTTTCATTTCTGTAGCGGTCCCTTACGAGGCTCTGGAGAGGTTTAATGGCTTTCTGCTCACAGGCTCTTAAGGAGAAGAGGCTCAGTGACCACGGGCGAGCCGCAGAAAAAAGACAGACTGAGACAAACATGCCCTCTGAAGGAAGAAAGCGTCTGTGCTCACTGTGACATTGGGGAGGTTGACAGTGGGACATTTTCTCCTTCAATATAAGACGTTTAGTGTGGAAAAAGAGAAATGTCCCTGAAAAACTCTGAAGCTTCATTCCAATGTATCAAAATTGGCAGAAAAACAATATAGCAATAATATTTTCATTAATGTCTTTTTTTAATTGCTCATTTTATCCTCTTTGATTTTATTTTATTGCATACTGTTATAATTTTTATTACAACTATGACCACAGGTGTTGCCACATAATTTTTTTTTAATTAAAACAACATTTTTATGTTATTTTATAAATAAATAAATAAATAAATAATGGCATTAACTGTAATAAAACTAATAATACACTACAACATTTCGTATTATGACTTCAGTCTTTACTGCTACTTCTATTCTATTTTCTTTTTTTTCTTTGTCTCTATTTCTATTTCTGTTCTATTTCTATTTCATATTATTTATGAATAAATAAAGGTTGCAAGTGTAATACAAATTATAATGTACAATAACAATTTATTTTTTCTTTCTTTTATTTTATTATATAGTGTTATTTTATAAATAAATAAATAATGGCATTACTTGTAATAAAACTAATAATACACTATAACATTTTATTTTATTCCATTTAATTTTATTGTATACTGTTTTATGACCAGTCTTGACTGCTACTTATATTTATTAAAACACTTATTTTTTATTATTTATAAATAAATAAAGGTGGCAGTAATTGTTGGAAAATAATAAATATACAATACATTTTTATTTTAGTTTACCAGTCACTGCTTTTACTGTGTACTTTGAAATTGAAATTGAAGGTGAAGTAATGAGAGAGAAACAGAGATGGGAGGAGGAACAGAGGACGGAGTCAAGGCTCTTCTCCCTCTTGTAGAAGAAGGGATCATCTTTGTTCTGAGCTGTTATACTTTATTGGAGCTGGATTGAGATTATCCTCTTTAAGCATTTTAGAGTGTTAGAAGATGAAAGCTGTTCTTGTGGGACCAGTTCAGATGATTAGTTTTTAAAGCACATGTAGAAACAGAACTTCACACGCGCTTTCACATCCATCAAAATCTCCCACACGCAACCTGACAGATACATTTCCAAAGAAAAACACACATGCTCATGTACACTCACAGTGGGTTGCCGGTAACGGAGCAGGTGAGACTGAGGGAGTCTCCCTCTCGGAGGATGCCCTGAGGGGGAATGATTTTCACCGTAGGAGCAACTGCAGAGATAAGGATAAAGAAGAGAAGGATAGAGAGAGGGAATAAAACAGGTAAAGAGCTCTGTCACAAAGTCTAGTGAACACATACTGTCTTCAAATGCAGTATCCAGACTAAAATGGAAATTATTGCTTTGGAACAAATACTTGAATGCATAACTGAATGTTGCTCTGGACTCACATGTGATTTTAATACAGCCAGTGCAAATTATATTATAATAATTATAACATTATAATAATTATAAAAAATAAACACATACGAGCACAATATTTTTTTCTTAAACACTTTTTTTTTTTAAATATTATAAATTTAATCATGATCTATTTATTATTTTAGACCATTTTTATATGTATTTATATTTTTATATTATTTATTTTATATATTTTTATAATTCAAAGGCTTCTTGGGCTACTGTAAGTACATTTTTATTTCTTTGTAAGAAATTAATATATTTATTCAGAAAGGATGCGTTAAATTGATCAAAAATTACAGTAAGTGACAGAAATGTAAAAATTAAATACATTTTGAACGTTTTATTTCAATAAAATAATCATTTAAATAGATCACTTGCTGCTACTCATGTGGGATATGGAGTTTATTGAAAGATCTGGTGCTATGGTTAGGTTTATGTGTGGGTTAAGGTATAAGGGTAGAGTAATTACAGATGTAACTACAGAAATTAATTACAGATGTAATTACAGGGGGCACTTTTAAATATAAGTACAATGAAAAAACATTTATGTACACAATAAACGTATCAAATGGTTATTTCAAAATTAAGTAAACTGTAGTTAAAGACAGTTAATATAAAGTGGGTCCATTGCAATAGTAAATATATAAAAAAATGAAAATTAAAAATTGTAATAATATTTTACATTATTACTGTTTTATTGTATTTTTGACCAAATAAATACAGCCTGGGTGAGGCTTATGCTTCTTTCAAAAACTTAAAAATAAAGCTTCCCAACGTCAAACTTTTGAATGGTTGTGTATTGAATGAACTATTTATAATCATAATTTTGCATAAAAATGCTCTTAAAATGCTGCCTACAGCTGCAGCTCACCAGGTTTTATAACAGAACAAGTGCTTCAACTCATTTTTAGCAGGTGTCTGATTTAAACTAACTGTGGGTAAAAACAGCAATACACTAAATTTTATTTGAACTCAATTGTCTTTTTATAGAGTAAAGCCCTTCCGATTTTTACAGCAACTTTATGAGAGAAGTCCTTGTGTAAAGTTAATATTAGATCTTTTTATTGGTTGAAATCCTTCCACAGTATCACATCTCAAGTGTTTCTGTTAACACTGTGGTGTGATGTGTAATGGGATACTGTTGTCTTCTCGTCCTTTATCATATCAGACAAGATGTAACACAAACAAACAAACCTTGTTAGAGGCTTGCCAAGTGAACATGTTTAAACAGATGGGGCTTCAGCGAGCTAATAACAACCGTTAATCAGTCTAATATAGCGGTAGTCATAGAAACGTGACGGCATTGTTGGCTCACAGTGAACGTCCAGGCTGTAGTGACGAACTCGTTTCTGCCCCACGAGTGCCGGGTGAGACGCCTCACAGCTCAGTGCCACTCCATTATCTTTCCTCTCCACGGGGATACGGATAGTGTTGGAAACACTCACAGTCTTGCCGTTCTCCTGCTGAGAGATCACACCTGAACGAAAAGAGAGGAACAGAAGTCAGTTCGCTCTAATTTTTAACAGTGTGTGTTCACATTTCAACCAGACATTATTTGCATACCTTTCGTACAAAGGACTGCGCGCTCGACCTGATTACTTCAAACAGTATGAATCTGACGCGCTGAGCAATGCACCTTACACACATCGATTTCACAACCACAGAACAGGCTCTATTATCCTTCTGAGACTGTTAAGTTTTAATTTGATGATGAAAAACGAAATGACCAGGGGCGAGTGAAGGGCAGTAATGGGGTGATGAAACAGACAGAGGGAAGTGTAGGTCGATAGAGCGTGAGGTCGAACAGAGTTTGCAGATTTATGAAGATTATGGGTTTCTAACTTGTAAAACTATTCTTCGGTCTTTGTCAAACTTGTATTTTACAGAAAGCACCAATCACTTACCCATTGCGACTTCATATAAAAACAACCAAAATGGCAGTGGCTTAAAACAAATCAATACATATTTCTGTTTGATATGTAATTTTATACTCATATACAAAGTGTTTTGTTTTGAAGGAGCATATAAATGTGAAAAAGCGATCGAATATTCTGCTGTGACTGACAACAAAGCCACAAACCGATCCTTTATGGTGTTATGAGCTTTGCCATAGAAACAAATCATTTCTGAGTCATGAACAGCTCTTGGACAGCTCTCACGTTTTCTTCAAGACGTGAACAGCTAAGAGAAGATTCTAAAACAACAATGTACAATAAGACTCATTGGTAACACTTTATTTTAAAGGCCAGTTCTCACTATTAACTAGTAGCTTATTAGCATGCATATTACTAGAATATTGGCTGTTTATTAGGCACATATTAATGCATTATTCTGCATGACCGCAGTCTGGAACCCTTAATCCGACCCGATGCATAAACTTACTAACTATTAATGAGCAGCAAATTAGGAGTTTATTGAGGGAAAATATTGAGGTAATATGTGTTCCCTAATTTAAAGTGTTACCGATACATTTATTAGCTGTAGTTAATATATTAGGTATCTTGAACTAAAAAAAAAAACATGGAGATAACATTTATGGAGGCAAAAATCTGGAAAAGAGTTTTGCATTTCCAGTTCCATCATAACAAAGTCAATGGGGTTAATGGGTTTTAGGTTAAATGCCTACAATAGGTCTGTAACGTGAGCTCAAGGTATTTTCACATTTTATTCTACAGCATAAAATACACCAGTAATATCTACTTGTGGTTTTTTTATAGCTTTTACTTGTCTTGAAAAAGGCAGGTGCTAACAGGTGGCAAAATTTATAGCCGTTTTAAACCGTTTATAGCCTACGTACATTTTGGCGATTGTATTTAGGCTTTAAAATTCATAAAAGTTATCGTGATGATAAATTATAAATTATTAACTTTATGAAACATGTATGAATCATAAACATTTGTTGGTCACAGAGTTTATTTTCTGCAATAATCCAAAAGTCAATTGAAAAATCTTATTGGGTTTTTGTCAGGGAAACCAGGGTGATGCATAACCACTGCAGCAGGCTATACTTTCACAACATGCATCTAGATTAATATTAATTTATAAACATAGAATAGTTTATTGTTAAATCATGTTTGATCATTATTCATGATTAAGCAATGTTAACTGTATTTAACTAATCACTCTAGGTTGATGATATTTTAAAAATAAAGCATTGTTTATTGATATTGTTTATTGCAACATACATGTTTCAACATACAAAATTCTGTCATTAATTACTCACCCTCATGTCGTTCCAAACCCGTAAGACCTTCGTTCATCTTCAGAACACAAATTAAGATATTTTTGATGTATTCCGAGAGCTCTCTGACCCTCCCATAGACAACAATGATCCTTACGTAAACAATACGCTGTTTACGTTATTTACGCTTTGATCTGAACATAAACAACGTATCCGCGTACATATGTTATTTACGTATGTGATACTCTCCAAAATGGCGCCATAGGGTGACGTGGAGGAGACGAATTGTTGAATAAAGTCGTTATTTTTGTTTTCTTTGCGCACAAAAGTACTCTCGTAGCTTTATAGCATTACAGTTGAACCAATAGGGTGACGCGGAGGAGACGAATTGTTGAATAAAGTCGTTATTTCTGTTTTCTTTGCGCACAAAAGTACTCTCGTAGCTTTATAGCATTACAGTTGAACCACTGATGTCAAATGTATTATTTTGACAATGTCCTTGCTACGTTTCTGAGCCTTGATCATGTTGGGATCATTGCTGTCTATGGGAGGGTCAGAGAGCCGGAATGCATCAAAAATATCTTAATTCATGTTTCGAAGATGAACGAAGGTCTTACATGTTTCAACATACAAAATTCTGTCATTAATTACTCACCCTCATGTCGTTCCAAACCCGTAAGACCTTCGTTCATCTTCAGAACACAAATTAAGATATTTTTGATGTATTCCGAGAGCTCTCTGACCCTCCCATAGACAGCAAGGATCCTTGCACGATCAAGGCTCAGAAACGTAATTTTATGAAGCTACGAGAATACTTTTTGTGCGCAAAGAAAACAGAAATAATGACTTTATTCAACAATTCGTCTGCTCCGCACCACCGTAGCGCCATTTTGGAGAGTATCCACTGAACGTAAACATCGTATGCTGTTCTGTGTCAGCTGTGTCACGCGGATATATTTTTTTCGTTCAAATCAAAGAGT